CATATTCAGCCCACATGATGTAGGTAGCCCAAGAGGTGGGGTTATTGGCCGCCATACACCGCAGAGTGGTCTCCAGATCCTGATTAATCCGTTCCATCTGGCCATTAGACTCTGGATGGAACCCAGACGATAGGCTGGCCGTGGCACCGATCAGCTTGCAGAAGGCCCCCCAGAACCGGGACGAGAACTGGGGCCCTCGGTCGGAGACAATATCCAGGGGAATTCCAAACACCCGGAAGACATGGTTCATGAGGAGCTCTGCTGTTTCTTTGGCCGAGGGCAATTTGGGCAGGGGAATGAACCGGGCAGCCTTAGAGAACTGGTCCACAACCACCAGGATGACAGTGTTGCCCTGGGATGGTGGGAGTCCCGTGACAAAGTCCAGAGAAAGGTGCGACCATGGCCTACGGGGAACGGGTAAGGGATGGAGCAGTCCCTGAGGTCGCTGATGTGTAGACTTTCCCTGGCTGCACACGGGGCAGGCCTCCACATAGACCTTTACATCCTCCTTGATGGATGGCCACCAAAACCGCCGCTGGAGGAAGTCAAGGGTGAGAGCATTTCCCGGATGGCACGTCAAGGGAGACTCATGACCCCACTGCAAGACCTGGGCCTGGGCAGATTGAGGGACGTACAGGTGTCCCGCAGGACTACCTCCTGGGTCTGGCTCTTGGGCTTGACCCTCTCGCACCACCCTTTCCAGTTCCCACTGAAGGGGCGCGACAATTCTAGACCTTGGAATAACCGATGCCAAAGGCTTCTCCTGCATCTCGGGAGAGTAGGCTCGGGACAGGGCATCCGGTTTGACATTCTTAGTGCCGGGTCTGTAAGACAGGAGAAACTGAAATTAAGTGAAGGGGTGCTTGAGCTCCTCGAAGGCCCCCGCTGCCTCCGAACCCCAGTGAATCTTGATTCCTCCTCCCTTGGTCAGCGTAGTCAAGGGGGCTACCACAGAGCTGAAGTTTGTAATGAACCTCCTATAGAAGTTTGCGAAGCCGATGAAACGCTGAACCTCCTTAACTGTGGCGGGAATAGGCCAGTTGAGGACAGCTTCAACCTTCTTAGGGTCCATCTCCACGTGGCCAGGAGTGATGATGAACCCGAGAAACTGAGCCTGGGTAACATGAAACTCACATTTCTCGGGCTTCACGTAGAGATGATTGTCAAGGAGTCTCTGGAGGACCCTGCTGACGTGCCCCTCATGCTCCTCCAATGACCCCGAGAAAATGAGGATATCGTCAAGATATACAAAGACGAATTGATTAAGCATGTCCCGGAGAACGTCATTTATCAGTGCTTGAAATACTGCTGGGGCGTTGGTGAGCCCGAACGGCATCACCAGATACTCATAGTGGCCTGTGGGGGTGTTGAAGGCCGTCTTCCATTCGTCCCCCTGTTGGATCCGCACGAGATGGTATGCGTTGCGTAGATCCAATTTAGTAAAAATGGAAGCCCCTTGTAGTAGCTCGAAAGCAGTGGCCATGAGGGGAAGGGGGTATTGATTCCGAACCATGATCTTGTTGAGGCCCCGGTAATCGATACATGGCCTAAGAACCCCATCCTTCTTCCCCACAAAGAAGAAGCCCGCCCCAGCCGGGGAAGTAGAGGCACGGATGATGCCGGCTGCCAGGGATTCCTTAATGTAGGTATCCATTGCTGTGCGCTCGGGGGAAGACAAGGAGAAAATCCGACCCCGGGGAGGGCAGGAGCCAGGGAGTAGCTCAATGGCACAGTCGTAGGGGCGGTGAGGTGGTAAGGAGGTGGCCCGGGACTTGCAGAACACTGCCTTGAACTGATGATAGGAACTGGGTACTCGAGACAGGTCGACAGAATCTTGAAACTCGGAACTAGGGACTGAGGGACTCAGGCAGGTGAGGTGGCAAGTGGAACCCCAGCTCATAATGGTGCCAGCGGACCGGTGAGAGAGCCTGGAACGACCCAATTGCATGTCCTCCGGGGATTCATGGGGCTGTTCAGGAGCCGAGGAGGCTCTGGATGCAGGAATACGAACTGGGGACACAGACCTGTTCACAGGAACTTGGAACTGAGACGCCTTGTGGCGAGCCACCCTCCGCTCTCTCAGGCGATTGTCCAGGCGAATGGCCATCGCAAAGAGGGTCTCGAGATCAGCAGCTGGTTCTCGGGTGGCTAAGTCATCTTGAAGGGGCTCGGACAGCCCTCCCTGAAAGCAGACCATCAATGCCTCATCGTTCCATCTGCTTCCTGCTGCGATGGTCCGAAACTCGATGGCGAAATCTGCGGTGCTGCGAGAGCCTTGATTTAGAGCAAGCAGGCGCTTGGAAGCCTCCCGACCACTGACTGGATGATCAAACACTCGCTTGAACTCCTCTTTAAAGGCTGCGTAGGACTCACAACAGG